AGAAACATCACCACACCCTCTTTTCACAGATCTATTTCTGAGTCCATGGCATCAGACTATTGCAATACATGCAAAACATCTTTTTATCTGTTGGACATCTGACGTAACTTTTTATGGTATCTGGTGCTCATATCATCTCAGCTGGGGCACAGCAATTCAAGGATTTTGGTCAACAGGACCAAAATAAGTTGATAGAAGCAGTGAGAATGGCCAGAGGACTAGAAAAGACAGCATTAAAAGGCTGAAGGTATTGAAATTGCTTGGTCCAGAGAACACAAAACCAAAAAGAGATGTGATAACGGTGTTCAAATACACAGAGAGGAGATAAAAGACAAGTATGAACTATTATGTCAGATGAGACAGACAAAAAATTATGAGAAAGGAGATTAAGATACATCACGAACTCTCTCTGATGGTAGAGAAAGTGAGGCACTGAACAGATCACCTTAAAACATTAAATAAATCCCATCTTTGTCCCATCCTGGATATGGCTACTTGCAGAAAGACAGGGACACTGCTGTGCTGGCTTTACACAGGAGGGGCTAGCTTACTTCTGGAAGGTCTCTTTCAGTTTGTGTCTCTGTATTTTCTAAGCCACAAAGAAAAGTAAAACAATCTATAATCTCAGATCTATATTGAGGTTTAACCCTTACCTGATCTTTCCAGTTTACACAATTGTATACTGATTTTGGTAATACTGTAACTAACATAATTTTGGGGTAGCATGCAAGAGTTAAAGCACATGTCTCTTAATGTGGAACAGCAGCAGATGAGCTTCATGGAGTTTACAAGCTGGTGACTGACTGTTTGAGAGCCCACTGACAAAAATCAGTAAATGCTTCAGGAGTAACAGGGCAAGGTGGAAACCCTCTCCAGGAGATTAGTAAAAGAAAAAGGATTATAAGCACTTCTGCTGCTAAGAAACATCATCTGGGGTCTAGTAAACAGCAGGAAGAAAAAAAAAAAAAAGAGGGAAATAATAGGGATTACGTTGAGAAAGGAATCTGGTTTAAATACAGGGGGAAGTTTGAAATGCTTGGAGACAATATACCAAACAACACCAGATAGCAGTCAGATTGCAGTCTTGATCTAAACTCTCAAAGCCTTGATTGTTTATGGAGTTCAACTGATGCCTTTTCTCCAAGATGATTTTCTTTGTATAAATACCTAAGCATACATGGCAGGTCTTCCAAAATGTTCAGCCAGCTACTCATCAACTGTAGAGACACAAGTGAACTGGGAGAAGTACAATTACTCTAGTTGCCTCACTTAGAAATTCAATGTCCAAACATATTTAGTATTCTTTTTATGTTAAGAACTATCACTCCTAAGTAATAACCAACAGACACAACAGCTGGACTCTGCTTGTCATTCCAGCATGGCTTACATACCTCATCCATGCCAGAAGCTGTGAAGAATATGCCAATCTCCTCTGCATATTTCTTTAGCTCTCTATATTGGTCATGACTAAACTCCAAGTGGCGCTTGTGCTCCCCATAGGTCTTTCCCCAGGAGTGTTTAGAGGTGTAGGGCCTTTCTAAGGCTTTCTTGTTGAATTTGTACTCCAGTTCACTCTTCTGGAACTTAGCACAGTCTGCTCCGCAGTCCTGCAAAACACACTGGTGCACACTGAGTGGAAGTGCAAGTGAAACTGCACCAATGCTAAGTTTGAACACAAGGATTGTACAACTAATGTGCTCATTTGCAGTGGAGTTTTCACATTATCATCATAGCAATCACAGAAAAGGTACAAACACAGTGACAGAGGATATACATGAGCCCCTTTATTTCAAAATGCCTGAATACTTAGGACAGCAGCAGCCTAGCAAGAAATCATACTAAAACTACCAAACTTGAACTGCCTCTTGCTTTGCATAATGCTTATTTGAAGAATTGATTTCTGTGGCGTCTTCCAAGCTCAGCTGTCACATGATAATTTTACATGAAAACAAGTGACAGGATTCTGTAGAACAAGGAGTATGAAATTTGTTTGAAGTGTTCACAAATGGTGAGGTTAAATTCTGACTATACTATTTTGCACTTATACCACAGCCACAGGTCTGAATGCATTATGCCCCTGCTTCTCCTTCAGCGATGATATGCCATTTTCTAACAAGTATATCTAATGTATGTAACACTAATTTTTAAAACAGCTTGGCTATCTTACTGGATGGCACAAGCATTACTGCAAAAAAACCCTGATGCAATCAAATCAAATTGGAAGTTCATCAGACACAGTTCAGCAGTTATCTGATTTTTCCCAGATTCACCGTTAGCTTGTAACGCGGCTGAAGGACTGCTGTAACCCGTCGGAGACTATATAATCTGCCTGTGTACGCACAGACGTCGCCGTGAACGAGGCCGGTGCCTCCGGAAAGCGAATACGATCTGATCATAGGCTATGAGGAACAGACCAAAGGCTATAAAGCAAGCACCCGCTTTGTGGGCCCTCGCCACGACTGTCTTCTTGCAGCTACTTTATTTTAAAAAATCCTCCTGTAAAGCACTCCACTTCTCCCGCTACCCCCCGGAGACAATGCTCCCCGACCGCAATGCCCCCCGCGGTGAGAGCGTAAGGCTTTCCCGGCCCCCGCCGGTGCCC